CAAGAAGACGATGTACACATATATTTATTGTTGCATTTCTAAAAATACCAACACATTGAAAGCAATTTTTAAAAAGCCCATACATTAAGAAATGGATACAAATTATGGCCTACCATGAAATAACACAAATCAGGAGTTGACATACTCCACCTGGCTTATAAAGTCTGAAATATTTACTGTCCAGCTCTTTTAGAGAAAGTTTGCCAACCCCTGGGATAGAGCACTTAAAGTATATCAATGTAGATATATCTAAAAACATATAAGAAAATGTGAAATTCAAAAAGATATGTACAACTTGAGACACTGTGTTTTATTTAAATATGAAGCATACAAAATAATGACATGCATATGTGTACCTGTATATTAAAAAAAGAATCCTAAAGAGGAAAGATCTATATAAACATCAGAGCCCTGGTTACCTCCACAGAGGGCAGGGAAAGGAATGAGTAAGGGAGAGGTGGGAATGGCAGCAACATATTCATCAACACTGGTTGCTTTTCCGAGTCTAAGTGTTAGCATTTGTTAAAATTCTGTGTTTTGGGCAGGCATGGTGGTTCACACTTATAATCCTAGCACTGTGGGAGGCCAAGACAGGTGGATCCCCTGAGGTCGGGAATTCAAGACCAGCCTGACCAACATGGAGAAACCCCATGTTTCTGCTACTCAGCAGGCTGAGGCAGGAGAATCGCTTGAACCCGGGAGGTGGAGGTTGTGGTGAACCGAGATCGTGCCATTGCACTCCAGCCTGGGCAACAAGAGTGGAACTCTGTCTCAAAAACACAAAATTGAGTTTTATTCATTTGAGGTATGCCATAATTTAGTTTTTTAAAAATATTATGAAATACAACAGTAACAACAACAACAAAAACTCTCCAATAGGAAAACAGCCTGCGAATGTGAGCAGAGCTAAACAAATGCAGGAGGAAAGTGTGTCCTGACCAGGAATCAAACACACATTCATTTTTAAGTTGATTTTTTTTTTTCAATTTTACTTTAAGTTCTGAGGTACATGTACGGAACACGCAGGTTTGTTACATAGATATACATGTGTTGTGGTGGTTTGCTGTACTCATCAACCTGTCATCTAGGTTTTAAGCCCCACATGCGTTAGGTATTTGTCCTAATGCTCTCCCTTCCCTCATCCCCCACCCCACAACAGGCCCTGGTGTGTGATGTCCCCCTCCCTGTGTCCATGTGTTCTCATTGTTCAACTCCCCCTTACGAATGAGAACATGAGGTGTTTGGTTTCCTGTTCCTGTGTTAGTTTGCTGAGGGTGATGATGTCCAGCTTCATCCGTACATTCATTTTTAAAGGAGCAGGCTTTTCACACACGAATGATGTCTTAAGACGGCACCTCTTCACGTCAAGGATGTGGGACTATGACCCCTTCAGTGTCCCATGCATTCCATTGTGGACTGTATTATCTGTCTTCCCCAACCACTGCAGCCGCCACTCACAAGCCAGATGATAAGTCCTCTGAGGGCAGGATCTATGTCTTTCTCCACCTTGGAATCCTTGGTGCCTGTCACTGTACCCAGGGCTAACTGGCTATTTATCAGATCCTCGCTGCAATAAATGCACGACTCTGTGTTCTCCATGTCAGGCTTAAAATACTGATTTTTAAAATGTCAGTTGTACAGAAAAAAAAAAAAAAGTACTCCAACAATCTGGTGCTTTCCATCCCCAGAGTTTAGAACTCTGGTGAACTCTCAAAGGAGACAGACTTGAGTAGAAGAATAGAAATAAGATCTTCATTTCCCAATACGGGAGCACATGTTAGGAGACATTTGAATGCCAAACAGGTCAATCAGGATAGAATTGCCTCTGAGAGACACTCTAGAAATCAGAGACATTCTTTACCTGGAGCTGAGTGCCACTTGAAAAGATGACAGTCTTTCACGACTTTGAAAACATCAAAGACAATCAAAGCACCAGCTCCAAACCTGATCCTCACAATCCAACACCAGCCTACGAGTCAGGAATGAAGGCAGCAGCAACAGGAGAAAAAACACGTTGCATACATAAATCTAAGTCACAGGAAACACAAATTCCAGCAACAGCCTCTGTTAGGTGGCCCTCTAGTTGGACTCGGAGTGGTTCTGATCAGCGTGGCCGAATTTGCAAGGAGGGTGGGTTTGCAGCAGAGAATGCCATCTCTGTGGGCTTTCAGAGGCATTGAAGAAGGAGATCCTTTTCCCTCCCTGCAGTTCCACAGAAACACTCTCTTGGGTTGACTTTACATTTCACAAGTAAATGCAAGTAATACCTGGAAGAGATAACACTGTTTTTTCAGATCAAACACTAACACTTAATTTGAATTAACTTTAGCAGTTGAGGAACATTGAGACCATTAGGAAATAATGCTATTTCTCTGGTTAAAGCTGGTTCTTACTTCCAATGACATGGTTTGGAAAACACTCTTTGATGGACAAACATATGCGTCCTTCCTTCAAGATTAAACAGTTTGAGTTAGTCTTAAGTTTGTCTTCTCCATTGTTGTTTGGCAAGAAAACTTATTACCTCCTTTCAGAAAACAATTTGTCAATGCATTTTTAATTAAACTCTTATTTTGAGATAATTGTAGATTCACATATTTATAAGAAATAATGCAAAGAGATCCTACATCCTCTACCCAGTTTCCCCCAATTATAATATCTTGCAAAACTATGGTACAAACTCACAATGAGGATATTGGCATTAGTACAGTCAAGACACAGAATATTTTCATCAACACAAGAAGCCTTTATATTGTCCTCTTATAGCCACACCCACCTCCTCCCCCAAGCCTCATCCCTGTGACCACGGATCTGTTCTCCATCTCCAAATGTTATCACTTTAAGAATGTTATGTAAATAGGAATGCAGTACGCCATCTTTTGAGACTGTCTTTTTTCGTACAACAGAATTCCCTTAAGATTCCTCTCAATTCTTGTTCGTATCAATTGCTTGTTCCTTTTGATTGCTGAGTAATATTCCAAAAGATGGATTACACTGCACTTTGTTTAAACTTTCATCTCCTGAAGGAGATCTCTGTTGTTTCCACTTTTTGGCTATTAGAAATGAAGCGGTTATGAATATTCATGCACAGGATTTTATGAAACCTGGAATAAATGTCCAAGAGTACTATTGCTGTGTTGTACAGTAGTTGCATGCTCACTTTTATAAGAAATTGCTGAACTATTTTTCAAAGTGGCTATAGCATTTTACATTTCCACATGCAGTATATGAGTTTGTCAATGTATTTCACGAAATATGTAAACCCTTATGCCCTTTAACTAATAATTACCCTTTAGGGAATCTATCCTCTGAGGATAGCTCAACATATAGAAATATATATGTGTGTGTGTGTGTGTGTGTGTGTGCTTTATATAGTCTATTTTTTTGGCTTTAAGGAAAGCTAAAGGGTAAGCTAGATGGGATTTTATATTTAAGCCTAGAAGAAAAGCATGTTAAAATTGTGTTTATGGAAAAATATAATCAAGTGGAAAAACACATTGCCCTATGTTTCTCAGGCAATAATGCTTCTAATACACCTATTTGTTTTGAACATATGGTCATATCCTTTGCACCACTGTACACACTTGCTCTCCAGGGAGAAAAATAAGTCTGGAACATTGACTGAGAGAACCTTAACCAACAGAAAGTTAATTAGGTGGTGAGGATTAGGAAACCATGAGCCTGAACAATTCCTTAGACTGGTAGATGGTGGTTGAGGGTCAGTGAGAGGCTTTTCTTGTATTGTCAGGAGAAGGTCAGAGGTCAGCAAGAGGCATAGGAGGTGACCACAGTGAGGGAAAAGGGGGCGTGGAGGAGCCTCCAGTCCACTTCACAGTTGATGGATGCCCTAGCCGTGGTTGAGAATTAGCAGCTCCTTGTTCCTCAAGGCAAAACCCAAACCAAACCAAAACCTTTCCCAGAAATTATATTTTTCAAAGACTGTTTGAAATAATATCACATAGACATATAGATATTTTTAAAAGAGAAAACAGTAACCTATCTAGCTAACATCAAGGGGAAAAGATCTTAATAACATTGCCTGTATCTTTAGGGTCTTTGGAGTTTGTTGCTGTTATGTTTTCAAGAAACCCAATATACAAAGAGATCAGAGCAAGTGAACACTTGGGTCTTGCACGATGTGTCTGGAGAACTGGCCTGCAGAAGTGTCAATCAAATCTTAACACAGAATTTAGTTCATTTCTAAAAGATTACAAATATGAAGTGACTTCTCAATTAAATCTGTTAACCACAGGAAAAAAACAAAAAGAAAAACAAAACAGCACTTCAGTTTAGTTTAATTCCGATTGCCTTTTCAAATGCCAGCCATGCTGGTGGCAGGAGAAATGGAGGTGCCTCCAGAGACCACCGGGTGTGAGTCCTCAGAACCTGTGGATATCTGGAAACTTGTGGTCTTGTCACAGAGAGGAAGGAGACATGAAAGTAAATTAAACCCTTGAGAACCATTTCTGAAATTATGAGACCCTCTTAAACTTAGTTAACATCTCCCCTCCAGATGGAGAAGGAAAAGCTTAGGGGTCATATTTGGGAATTCACTGGACCTGGATTCAAATCCTGTTTCTGTTACAGACCATGTGGCCTTGGGAAGTCATGAGCAATTCTTATTTTATTATTATTTTTTTGAAATGGAGTTTCACTCTTGTTGCCCAAGCTGGAGTGCAATGGCATGATCTCTGCTCGCTGCAACTTCCGCCTCCTAGGTTCAAACAATTCTCCTGCCTCAGCCTCCCAAGCAGCTGGGATTACAGGCATGCACTGCCATGCCTGGTTAATTTTGTATTTTTGTAGAGGCGGGGTTTTACCATGTTGGTCAGGCTGGTCTCAAACTCCTGACTTCAGGTGATCCACCAACCTCGGAATGTCAAAGTGCTGGGCTTATAGGTGTGAGCCACCGCACCCAGCCTCCATGAGCAATTCTTGAGCAAGTCACTCAATCCTATTGAGCCTTAAACACTCCCCTGGGAATGAGGACTCTCGTACCCGCTTGCAAGGCTGTGTGGGCATGACGTAAAATTCTGAATGTGGATCATTAGCTGCAGGCCCACATGGATGACATACTGGCTGCTCCTGGGTGGTTGGTGAGATGTGAGGGGTTATTTCCCCGTCATGGCTGGGATTTGCCCATTGTTGGTGAGTTCACAAGCATGCTGTTTTCTTTGATGCATTCACTGATTCTGCAAGTATTTGTTTGACACAGGCACAGTTCTAGGCGCTGTGGAGACAGCAAGGAGTGAAAGGGAGCCTGGCTGGTGAGGAGGGCACCCTCTGTTACAGGGAGAGATGGTAAACAATTCCTTATGCCCGGTAGGTGGGATGGACACTGGGGAGAAAGCTAAAGCGTTATACAGGGGTAGAGAGCAAACACGAGGGTGGAGAAGGAGGCCCTGTTAATAGCTTGTCAGGATAGGCCTCTGTGATAAGGAGATATTTAAGCACAGCCCTGAAAATGCAAGGTGACAAGGGGAAACGGGAGACAACTATTATGGGATTGGTCAAACACATGTTTAAAAATATTTTCTGGCCTCAGCTTCTGCTTGTTTCTGCTAATGAACTGGGATCCAGAAGCCGGATCTGCTCTTCCTCGGGAGTGCTCTGTGGCTTTCCTGTTTGCTGCTGGGAGGCCTCAGCTGCCACAGCAGTGAGCTGGGATCCTACAGCCCTTGAGGGACTTCCTCCTGGGGGCTGCCCTCCACGCCCCATCTGTCTTCACTCCCTCTGGCTCCCACTGGCTCCTGGACCTCACTGTACCTGATCTCTTGTGCTTGTCTACCTGCCCATCTCCTCCAACTTGGGTCTAGACCTCCAGGGTGGGACTGTGACCTTAGCCATCTTTGTTTCCTCTGGCGTCTGGCGTGGTGTTTATTTCACAGTAGATCCTTCCTCAGCACAAGTTAGGTGAGTCGCTGAGGGACAAAGAAAAAAAAAACTAAGTAGGTTTGCCATTAAAAAAAAAAATCTTATACTGACTAGCCCTTCTGCCATAACAGAGGTATTTGATTTAGACAAGACAGAAACCCACAGTAATTAGTTCAAGAAAAAGGGGGGAAAGGTGGCCTATAGAACAGTGAGACTCAGGCCCATAGGGTGCTGCCATTGGAAAGTCAGGGATTTCAACTTGTCCCCCTCCCTGCGGGTCCCAGGTCCCGCCTCCTAGTCATCCTTTCCTTCCCCTGCAATTCCCAGCATGTGGATACCATTGGCTGGCCGGGCAGTGACTCGAGTCGTGATGAAGTTTTGTGACCATCTGGCTTCTTCAAGTCTCCTTGATCTCATGTTTCCAACTTTCCATCCCGGAGACAGATCTCAATGACTTAGGCTGGTCTGGGGTCTGCCTCTGGGCCCAGCAGCTACAGACCCTGGAGTGGAAGTGTTCAGTGCCCAGATCTGCCCCACAAGCTCCCTGCGATGATTTGTCGCCCGTTCGTTAGTAAGTTCCACAGTGCCTCCTGCAGAGCTGGGCCCACAGTGCTGCTGAGGGTCTAAAGGCAAGTTGGGGCTCAATAATGACTTGGAAAATGTTGACTGAATGCTGAAGGTGAGAGCAGGGCAATGGTTAGAACACCTTCTACATCCATGAAAAATTTACAATAAATGTGAAATATGTAAAATAAATGTGCTTCTGTTTCCTTATCAGGGGCTGGTTTTGCACTTACCTGCCTCAATCCCGGTGATTAACCCCAACCAGGTATCCTCACTTTCAAATCACAGGACTAAAAAATAATTATTTTGCTCAACATTCTAAGTGAAGAACAGTGTTTGTGATTTTCATACCCTGAGATGAACACATTGTTGTGTGCGTCCATTTTCTGAACCTACTTTTCTTCTCTATACAATGGAGATGGTAATAATAGTAACAGTAGTAGTATAGTAGTCATCTTAGTATACTCCATATGGCTGTGGTGAGAATTAAAGAAAATAATGTGAGCAAAGTGACCAGTGATCAGCATGGTACCAAAAAAAAAAAAAAAAAAATCAGCCCTAAATGGATGGTTGCTACATCTTTTGCAAATACCACCCCCGCCCGCCCTCCACACTGTCATCGTTGTCAGGAGCATCGCCGTCACCAGGGAGCAGCACCTGCGTCACCCTCTCACCCCCCGCACTCCCACCAGGTGCCTCCTAAGGGCGACTGCAGAGAAATCACTTGTTGTTTTCCAATGTGGACAAAAATATTCAGCAACCTCTGTTTCTATTATTTGAGAGGCAATGTGAGAAAACGACAAGCAAAAAAAAAAAAATCACTTGGAAAAAGTTTGATTTATGCCTGCAATCATACACAGCCAACTTTTAAACTATATTCATTAGCTTGTGGAATCTGTTGTATTCCTCGGCATGTAAGACACTGTTCTGAAACCTGCAAAGACTTCAGCTCACCTTGGAGACGAAATGTGAAGCATGATCAAGATGAAAGACAGTTTGCAAGAAGCATGGACATAGAAATTGTTTGCAATTTAGCCATTCTTCATTTTGTGTGATTGGAAGTGCTAGCCCACTTACAAATGACAATCGAATAAAGAGTTTTAAACAAGCATTTTCTAGAATGTTGATTTACTGGAGGAGGAAAAAAAATTGTTGTATCCTGCCAAATGATTGCAGCACCTATAAAATGGTAAGGTCATTTTCTGCTGAAATGTCACAGTGAGATTTTCAAAATAGATTCCTGGTGCAGTTTTAATAATGTCGAGGTTAAAGATAAGGGGAAAAAAGTATTTAACAATGAAAGTGAAGCAAAAATATTGCTGTTTTAAAGTGGATTTTAGGAGTAGCCTTTTATGATGTCAGGGCAAAATATAACCTTGTATACTGCTAATATTTTTCTAATTGTTTTATTCATAATTAATAACAATCAGCTCAACCACACTGGGCTGATGAAACTGCTTTGACCCTCATGCTGAATATCATAAAAGCAGTCCCCGGGGAGGTCTGGAGGAGGGAAAAGGAACAGGGAATGCATGAAGCCCTGTGAGTTTCTCAAAATAAAAATCGAAGAGTTGGCCGGGTGCAGTGGCTCATGCCTGTAATCCCAGCACTTTGGGAGGCCAAGGTAGGTGGGTCACCTGAGGTCAGGAGTTCAAGACCAGCCTGGTCAACCTGGTGAAACCCCGTGTCTACTAAAAATTAAAAAATCGGCCGGGCGTGGTGGCAGGCACCTGTAGTCCCAGCTACTCGGGAGGCTGAGGCAGAAGAATTGCTTGAAACTGGGAGGCAGAGGTTGCAGTGAGCCAAAATTGGGCCATTGCACTCTAGAAAAAAAAAAAATCGCAGAGTCTGTTCTGCAGTGGACATTGTGGAGAGTGTCCATCTGGCTCTCTTCTCTTGACCTGAACCCCATGACTCAAAGCTGCCAGTGACCAAGGTTGTATCACGTGACCCGAATGCATCCATTGTTGGAGATCAGTGTCGGAAATGTGAACCAAGCTGGGCCAGGTCCTTTGTCCCTAGCATTTGTGCTGAGGAAAGGAACCTGGGAGATGGGGGTTGAGGGTATTTTTGGCAGCATGTCCACTTGCTCCTCAATGGGAGACTTGCCTTCTATGTTCATCTCAGTAAGCGTCTAGTAAATTGCCTTTTTAAACCTAAATTGAATGTATTAATGAAGACGGTTTTTGATAACAATCAGTAGAGAGGTTATTTCTCCTACTTAGGATGTAAGGAAGGAGGGAGCCAGGGTGAGTTAGATAACTCTGCACTCTCTGTAAATCTCTTCCTTTTTTTTTTTTTTTTTGTGACGGAGTCTTGCTCTGTCGCCCAGGCTGGAGTGCAGTGGCCAGATCTCAGCTCACTGCGAGCTCCGCCTCTGGGGTTCACGCCATTCTCCTGGCTCAGCCTCCCGAGTAGCTGGGACTACAGGCGCCTGCCACCTCGCCCGGCTAGTTTTTTGTATTTTTTAGTAGAGACGGGGTTTCACCGTGTTAGCCAGGATGGTCTCGATCTCCTGACCTCGTGATCCACCTGTCTCGGCTTCCCAAAGTGCTGGGATTACAGGCGTGAGCCACCGCGCCCGGCCTCTTCCTCTCTCTTTTACATTACACAAGAGTTTATCTGTGATGTTCCCCTTCCCGAGTCCAAGTGATCTCATTGTTCAGTTCCCACCTATGAGTGAGAACATGTGGTGTTTGGTTTTCTGTTCTTGTGATACGGTGTTTGGTTTTCTGTTCTTGTGATAGTTTGCTAAGAATGATGGTTTCCAGCTGCATCCATGTCCCTACAAAGGACACAAACTCATCCTTTTTTATGGCTGCATAGTATTCCATGGTGTATATGTGACACACTGGGGCCTATCACGGGGAGGGGGGACGGGGGAGGGGGGAGGGATTGCACTGGGAGTTATACCTGATGTAAATGACGAGTTGATGGGTGCTGACGAGTTGATGGGTGCAGCACAGCAACATGGCACAAGTAGACATATGTAACAAACCTGCACGTTATGCACATGTACCCTAGAACTTAAAGTATAATAATAATAATAACAATAAAAAGAGTTTATCTGGATGAGAATAGAGCAGTTCAGCAGCCATTTATCCAGCCCGGGAGCCTGGGAGGCTGGAGAAAACTTTCTTCTTTGCCTGCATCTTCTCTCTTCCTGCCTTTCCTAGAAGTACCCAGACGTTTCCCTCCTTGGCCAGTTCTGAATCCACAAGCTACCTCTAACTGCAAGGAAAACTGGGAAGGCATTTTTTTTTCCTTAGTGGGAGGAATAGGGGGACAGGGGGCTGGTATGACTGTGGGATCAGCAGCCCATATTGTCTGCCCCGCTGGCCTGTGTGGCTTTCAGTTGGTGACCCAAGGGTCCAATTATGACAATGTAAGCCAAGAGACTAGGGCCTTCCAGATTCTAAGTTCACATTCTAACATCTGCCATACTCAAGCCTGCAAGAAGGAGGAATCTGTGATTCAGCCTCAAATCCGCCTTCTCTGAGACATTCATGGGCAGCTTTAAGTGCCGTCTGAGATGCCGCATGACCACACGTGTCCACCAAATACACCAGATCTTTGCTTCAGTATTGTTTTTCCTATTTGGAGACGTCCTTCCATCCTCCCTGTCTTTCTTTCCCCCTCTCCCTCCCTCTTTCTCTCCCCAGAGGGCAGGCTGTCATGACAGGGAGTACCATGTCCATGTTTGGCTTTTGAATATATTCTTTTACATGTAAGTGTTCATGGCAATATACAGCATGATATTTCATATCAATCTCAAATACTACACAGATGATATCATATTTCTCACATGATCCAGCAACTTTCTCTTTTTTCCACATGGCATTAACCCTCTGAGATCTATCCATGTTGGCATGCGTAGCTGCAGCTCATCTCTCTTAGCCACTGTGTTCTCTTCTACCCTGTGGCTCAATCTTTTTTGAGCAATGTTGCCCAGGCTGGTCTCAAACTCCTCGTAATTACAAGCCATTGCAATTATTTATAATTACATCCTACTACTATAAGCCAATTAGGAAAGTGATCAAAGGAGAATTAAAACCTTTCTATGAAAAATTAAATCTCATTGAAATCTTAGCTGTAGCAGCTAACTATGCCAGCATGTACTTTGGTGAGATAAGGATGCCAATCTCGTATCTTCCTACTCATGGACTATTAGATTGTTTCTACTTTATGGTCATTGTGAACAATGCAGGAAGGGACATTTGTCTTTTTAGGTTTAGAAGCAAGCACTGCCATGTAACTATTTGCTAGGAGTTGAATTTATGGAACAAAAGGTATCCATGTACCAGCATCTTTTACCAGATTTTGCCAAATTATTCTCTACTTCCAATTGCAGTCCTGGCAGCATACAGATGTTCCAGTTTCCACATCTTCAGCCTCTTCCCATAAAACACAAAAGTTTTTGCTGTTCTAATGGATGATGAAAAAGGGTCTATCTTTGTGATTTTGATTTGTGCTTTCTTAATTACTAGCAAGTTTGAGCATCTTGTTCTGTTGGATGCTCACCTGGGCTCCTGTTCTCTGAATTATCCTTCCACAGCTCTTGTTTAGAGCAGGACCTTGCTCTATAAACACTCCATACTCATCCTTCATCAAATATGTGAGCCGTCCACGTGTAGTCTCAGTTTCTGGCTGTCCTTGGCTTTAAGGTATCTCGTATTTTACAAATGTTTTAAATTTAAATGTGGTACATCTATCAGTTGTTTTTATTGTGGTTTGTACCTTTGAGTCTATTTCAAGACATTTTTCTCTATTCAGAATCATAAAATAGTCTTTTATAATCTATTCTAAGAGTTTTATTGTTTCACCTTTTTGCATTGATGTCTGTAGTCAACTTTGGATTTACTTTTGCATATGAAGAAAAGCATATGGTGCATATAATTTACTTTTACATATGAAAGAAAAGCATCAGATGGTGCATATTTCAAATAGGCAGGCAGATATATTAGTGACATTGGCAGAATGTCCTATCACTTCTCAGCTTTTGTACAGGACACTTTGGTGCCCCACGTGTGTGGGGTCATTCTGGACTCCCGTTTTTTTTTTTTTTTTTTTTTTTCCAGAAATCTGTTTTTTTAAATCCCTGACTTAATTCCCCATGGGTTTTTATTTTCAATACAGTGAAAAATAAGCAGGGCATTTTGCCTTGATGTTGCTTGTAAATCATTTTATCACGTTAATAAAGCTCCTTTTGTTCCAATTTTGCTAGGAGGGTTTTAAAATGACTGTATTTATTTGGATGTTGAATTTAGTAACATAATTTTGTGTATCTGTTGACATGACTATTCTTTACGTTATTAGTGTGTTGAATTACATTCATAGATTTCTTAATATCAAAATAAGAAATAAGTGAACAATGCCTGTCTTATGATTTAATTGTGTGTGTGTATGTGTGCATGCATGCACACATGTGTGAGAATATTCAGCTTGCTGATATTTAATTTAGGTTTCTGTATCTATGCTCAAAAGTGAGAGCATGTATCTCTGGTCAATGCTATAAAT